AGAGTTCACACCTTGAAAATGTGGCCCAGGGTGGCACCCAATAGAATTTTCACACTGGGGTTTGGGCTCTGGAAGGGATGCAGAATTTACACCTTGAAAATGTGGCCCAGGGTGGCACCCAGTAGAATTTTCACACTGGGGTTTGGGCTTTGGAAGGGATACAGAATTCACACCTTGAAAATGTGGTTCAAAGCAGAACATCTGAGATTTTACTCCTTGAAGCTCTGACCCAGGTATAAATTCAAAAGATTTTGAACTTTCTAACTGTGACCCAGTGTCAAATGCCATAAAATTTTTATACTGAGTCTGTGACCCTTGATTCAGTTCAGAAGATTCCTCACCTTTCAATTTAAGCTTATTCTTGAATTTCTGAGATTGTTCATCTGGAGTAGAAGGTTTTATCCCTTGCAAATGTGGCTCATGATTGAAAACCATAAAATTTACACTTTGAAACTGTGGCCATTGACTCAATTTATGAGATTTCTCATCTTTTGGCTGATTTCCGGTACTGAATTCAGAAGATACCACACTATGAATCTTTGATTCCAAGGGCAGTTCAGAGTGTTTTACAACCTGTAATTCTGAGCCATGGTTGATCTCTATTGGAAGGTTTATGGAATCAGATTTCACACCTTGGAGCTTCGCTCCTGGGTTAAATTCCATAGATTTTATACATGGTGTCAACCTGGATAATTCCTTATTTTGGAACTGTGGGAATGAGTTGAACCCCAAAGATTTCCTATCTTGTACCTTACTTAGACACAATTCAAGAGATTTCACATCTTGCCACAGTGGCTGAGGAATTAATCCCACAGATTTCTCTTTTTGAAGCTTTGACCCTGGGATCACTTCAGAAGATTTCACACCCTGTAAGTATGGTCCAGAACTGAACCCTCTACATTTAATATCTTGAAGTTTTGTCCCCAGGATCAGCTTAGAAAATTTCACATCTTGCAACTGGGGGCCTGAATTGAATTTCACAGATTCCTCACCTTGAAGCTTTGCTTCTGGTATTAACTCAGATGTCACACCTTGTAACTTTGAACCATGGTCAAACTCTACAGACTTCACATCTTGAAATTTCATCCCTTCAATCAACTCAGAAGATTTTTCACCTTGTATTTGTGATCCAGAGTTGAAGTCCACTGATTGAACAACTTGAAATTGTGTCCCTGGTATCATTTCAGAAGATTTTATACTTTTAAGGAATTTTCTAGAATTGAACTCCACAGATTTTATACCTCCAAGTTTTATACCCATGATCAGCTCAGAAGATTTCATATCTTGTAACTGAGGGTCTGAGTCTAGCGCTACAGATTTCATACCTAGAAGCTTCTTCCCCAGGGTCAAATCAGATTTCTCACCTTGCAACTTTGGAGTGGATTTGAATTCTACAGATTTCACATCTTGAAGCTTTCTCCCTGTGATCATTTCAGAAGATTTCACGCCTCGTAAGTGTAGTCTGGAACTGAAATTCATAGATTTTACATCTTGAAGCTTTATTCCTGTGATCAATTTAGAAGATTTCACATCTTGCAACTGTGGGCCCAAGTTCAACTCCACGCATTTTACTTCTTGAGGCTTTGTCCTCAGTATTGGCTCATTAGATTTTACACCTTGCAAACGTGGCCTAGGTTTGGAGTCCACAGCTTTGACACCTTGAATCTTGGTTCTCTCTGTCAGATCAGAATATGGTATACCTTTCAACTGTGAACTAGGGCTTAACTCAGTACCTTTCATATATTGGGACTTTGTCTCAGGTGTCAACTTAGAACATTTTACACTCTGCCTCTGGGGCCCAGAGTTGAACTCCTCAGATTTCATACCTTGAGGCTTTGTCTGAAGAGCCAATTCTGATGATTTCATACTTTTCAGGTGTATTACAGAGTTCAACTCTACAAGTTTATCATTTTGTAATTGTGGTCCTTGACTTTTTATCTCTGATCTCACCCCTGAAAGTTGTGGCTCTTGTGTATACACTAGAGACTTCACACCTTGAGGTTCTGTTCCTGGGGATGACTCCAAGGGTTTCACTTCCTGCAGCTGTCCTGAGGTCAACTCTGAAGATTTTAAACTTTGCAAATGAAGGCCAGATTTGAACACCATTGATTTTATATCACAGAGTTTTGACCTTGAGGTTGGGTCACGTGATTTTGTACTTTTCAACTGCAGCTCAGATTTCAAATCAATAGATTTGAAGTTTTGAGGCTGATACTCCTGGAGTGATTCCAAAGGTTGTACACTTCTGAGCTTTGACCTTTGAGTCAAATCAGATGTTTTCACATCTCTTAACTGTATTGAAGATTTTAACTCTAGAGCTGTGACACTCTGAGATTGTGACTCAAGATTTACCACAGATTTCATATTTTGGAATTCAGATATTGGAATCCACTGAACAGACTTCTTACTTCCAAACTGTGTCCCTTGGTCTAACTCCACAGCTTTCACACCTTGAAGCTGTGGCTCTGAGGTTGAAATTTTTTTCCCTTTTTGCAGCTCTAGTCCTGGGGACAACTCAGGAGTTTTCAGACACTGACCATGAGGCCCAAGGTTAAAGTCCATAGATTTTGCACCTTGAAGTTTTGGCCTTAGAGTCAGTTCACATACTTTTGTATTTTTCAAGTCTATGGAAGTTTTCAATCCTGCAGATTTAACACGTTGAGATAGTGGCCCAAGATTTAATCTTACAGCTTTCAGGCCTTGGAACTCAGGTCCTGGTATCCACTGCACAGATTTCCTACTTCTAAGCTGTGGCCTTTGGTGTATTTCCACAGTTTTCACACCTTGAAGCTGTGGCTCTGAGGTTGATGCAAAAATTTTCCTTTTTTGTACCTCTGGTCCTGGAGTCAGTGTAGAGGTTTTTATACACTGCAACTGTGGCTCATGATTAAGCTCCATAGATTTTGCTCCTTGAAATTTTGGCCCTATAGACAATTCAGATGGCATCACTTCTGAAGTTTTTAATTCTTCAGGTTTGACACTTTGATATTGTGACCCAAAGTTTAATTCTACAGATTTCACACCTTGGTACTCTGGTTCTGGTATCCAGTTAATATATTTTATACTTTCAGACTGCAGCTCTTTGTCTAACTCCACAATTTTCGCATCTTGAAGCAGTGGCTCTAAAGTTAACTCCAAGGGTTTCACTTGGTACAACTGTGGTCCTGGGATCAACTTGGAAGATTTTATACTTTGCAGCTGAGGTTCACATTTGAACTCTCTCTCTTTTACATCTTGAATAATTGATTCTGGAGCCAATTCAAATGATTTTGTATCTTTCAGTGGTAGCTCAGAGTTGAGGTCTAGAGATTTTATACCTTTAGATTTGGGCCCTTTTAAATTCAAAGATATTATACTTTCTGACTCAGATCCCCTTTTTGGTTGCTCTAAATCCACACATGTCCTCGCCAGTGAATTTACAAATATCTGGTCATCCTGCTCAGGCCCAAGAGTTAAATCCACAGGTGCCATCCCTTGAAACTGTTGCCTTGTGGCTAAGTCCACAGATTTTACTTCTTGAACTCCTTCTCTTCTGGTTACATTCACCTGCCTTTTTACTGTTGGAGTCAACTTTACAGATTTTTCATATTGCAGCTGTGAATCTGGAGTCTCCTCTACAAATTTTAAATCTTGTATCTTAAAACATGGGGTAATTTCCACAAATTTGGAATCTTGCATTTGTGGCTCTAAAGCCAATTCCTTAGGCTTAATACCTTGCAGTTCCGGTTGTTGAGAAATCTCCATAGATTTAACACCTTGAAGCAATGGCTCAGGTACAAAAGCCACAGAATTCTCATCTTGCATCTTTGAGCCATGTTTTGATTCCATAGCTTTTATATCTTGATTTTGTATACCTGGGACCAACTCCACAGTTTTCAAATCTTGAATTTTTGAACCTGGAGTCAACTCCATGGATTTCATATCTTCAACCTTGCAATAAGGGGCAAATTCCACAGAGTTGAAATCTTTTGTCTGTGGTCCCAAGGTTATCTTTATGGGTTTCACACCTTCCTTTTGAGAACTTGGAGTTATCTCCATAGATTTTATACCTTCCTGACATGGTTCTGGCATTAAGACCACAGATTTTATATTTTCCAACTGTGGTCCTGAAGGTAGTGATGCAGATTCTAAAACCTGAATCTTTGAAGCTAGGGTGAGCTCCTTAGGTTTCACACTTTCTGCCTGTGGCCCTGGAGTTAACACCATAGATTTGACTTTTCCCAGCTCTGGCTTTGGTGTTAACTGCACAGATTTTGTATTTCCCAAATGTGGCTCTAGGACTAGTTCCACAGATATCTTATCTTCTAGCTGTGTTTCTGGGATTGGTTTCTCAGATTTTAAGTCTTGAAGCTTTGAGCCTGGAGTCTGTTCCACAGGTTTTACATTTTCCAACTGTGGTACTTGGACTAATTCAGATTTTATACCTTGTGACTGTAGTCTTCTGGCCAACTCATAATGATTTACACTTGATAACAGCATCCTAGGAATCAACTCCATAAATTCTACATGTGCTATCTGTGGCTCTGGGACTAATTTATAAGAAATTTCACCTTCAAAGTGTGGCACTTGGTTCATTGTTACGTATTTTACATCTTGAAACAGTGGTTCTGGTACTAAAAACTCTGGTTTAGACCCTTGCCTCTCTGGCTGTGAGGTGAACTCCAAAAATTGCCCACCTTGAGGCTGTGGCCCTGAGATTAACTGTGAAGATTTCACTCTTTGAGGTTGAGTTCCTGATGTTGTATCCAAAAATTTAACATCTTGTAGGCATGGCCCTATGTTAAGCCCAGCCTGTTTAATGTCTGGAAGCCCTGAAGACACATTTGCTAATTTGTAATCAGGCAGCCCTAACTCTGGAGTCATTTCAATCCCTGACCCTGGGGTTTGCTTCCCAAATTTGACACCTTGAAGCTTTGGCCCTGAGGTCAATCCAGAAAATTTGGTATCTTGCTGCCATAGCTCTAGATTTTCTTCCTCAGGTTTTTCACTTTGTAGTTTTGAGGTCAATATCATAGATTTCATTCTGTAAAACTGTGATCCTTCAGTAGACATAACAGATTTCATATCCTCAACCTGTGGCTGTTGGCTTAACTGCAAAGATGATTCTGGTACAAACCCTAGAAAATTTATATCTTGAAGCTCATCCCTTGGTATAAACTGTATACGTTTGAAACTTTGATGCTTTGGCTCAGGGATCAAATCAGAAAATTTGACATCTTGCAAGCTTGGTCCTGGGCTTAGTTCCACAGATTTCACACCTTGAGGCTGTGGTTCTGGAATCAGTGGTACTGATTTGACACTTTGATGCTTTGTCCCTGTGATAAAATCAGACAATTTGATTTCTTGTACTGGGGAACCTGGGGTCATTTCATCAGATTTCACACTATAATGTGGGGCCCCTGAGAGTAAATCCATAGGTTCTTCTTGAAGAAGTGTATCTGGAGATAAGTTGGAAAATCTAACACTTTGCAACTGTGGACCTGGAGTCATTCCAGAAGATTTGACACTTGGCTGCCATGGGCCTAGATTTAAATATGCAGATTTCACACTGTGTTTCTGTGCCCCCTTAGTCAATTCCTCCAATAATGTACCTTGTATCCCTGGCTCTGGTTTTGGCTTCTCAGATTCTGCCACTCTGGTAGTTGACTGTTGGACTGAATGCACACATTTTGCACCTTTCCACTGAGACTCTGGATCAATTTGCCTAGACTTTACTCCCTGGAGTTGTGGCCCTGAGATCAAGTCTCTAAGATATGGTTTTGATCCTGTAATTAAAGTTTTAGATCCAACCTCTAGTGGGGGTGGCTCAGAATTTAGTTTAACAGATTTCAAGTTTTGTGGTAATGACCCTGATTTTTCATAGCATATTTCTGATCCTAGAGTCAACCCCAGAGAATATAGTTCTGGGACAGCCCTCTGGGTCTTATCAGCTTGAGAGAATACCAACCCCATGGTTTCTGCATCTTCAGATTCTGCCTTTAAGGGTATCTCTGACAATTTGGTAACTTCTGAATGTGATTGTGTATTTAGAGGAACAAATTTCCTACCTTGGGACTGTGGCTCTGGGGTCAACACCTTTGATTTTACATTTTGCACCTCTGATCCTGGTATCAAGTCCGGAGATTGTTTTATTGTGTGTTGAGGTTCTGGAGTCTCCTCCATCACTTTTACAAGTTGGAACACAGTCTTACAAGTGTCTTTGAATGATGTTGGACTCATCTTCATAGATTCTGTTAATGGCACTGGGGTAATTTCTAAATATGGTTGTGTCAACCCAACAGATTCTCCTACCTGGTGACAAATGTCAGAGGTAAGTTTTACCTTTGTGCCTTGATGTTCTGGCTCTGGGATCATTCCTAAATATTCTGAGACTTGATGCCATGGAGTCAATCTTTCAGGCTCTAGGGCTTGATAATTTGGTTTGAGGTTCAACTCTACAGATTTCACTGCTTGAAGTTGTATACCTGGAATTACTTCCCCAAATTTCACACTATGCACTTGTGACTCAGGAATTACTCTTCTATATTCTACCATTTGGGGAGTTTTTACGTCTTTAGACAATGCTACTGGGGCTGTCTTCTCAGAGCTGATATTTTGTACTGATGGTTTTGGGGTCAGCTCCATAGATTTTATATCTTCCAGTGGTGTCTTTAGGGTCAATTCCACAGTTTTTGTATCTTTAAACTCTGGTGGTAGGTCCAAATGATCATAATCTCTATCTTGAAACTGTGAATGGGGGCTCAAATCTATCGATCTCCTACTTATCAACTGTGGTGCTAGGGTTAACTCAGCAGATTTTACACTTTGCAGTTGTTGTCCTAGAGCGAGTTGGATAGATTCCACATCTTGAGGCAGAGACTCTGGGGCTGACTGCATAGATTTCTCACCTTGTTGCAGCTGTGGTATGGAGGTTAACTCTTCAGATTTTATACTCTGCCATTGACACTCTGGGATCAAGCCTGTAGATTTTATAGTTGGTGTCAGCTGTCCATATTTTGCCACTTGCGGAACTAAACCTGTGGTTGTATCTACAGATTTCATACTTTGCAACCTTGGTCCTAGGACCAGGTTCTCAGATTTTAAATCTTGCAATTCTGGGGATAATTTCATAGACTCCATAATCTTAACTTGTGACATTGGCTTCACCTCCATATATTTCACACCTTCAAGCAATGATGTAGTAGTCATTACAGCAGATTCTGTGACTTGATGCAGTGGCTTTTGGTTCATTCCTACAAATTCTGTACCTTGACCTATTTTTCCTGGGATTGTCCCCAAAGATTCCATTATTTGATGGTGTGACTCTGTCAGCTGTGTAGATTTGCTCATTTTTAGCCGTGTGTCAGTAGTCAACCCCATAGTTTCTGTTACTTTATGGTTTTGCCTTGGGCTCATCTCTGAATATTCCAGGACTTGACAGCATGGGCTCAACCTTGAAGGATCCATGACCTGATGAGATGTTCTTGAAGTTAACGACACAGATTCTGTGCCTTGATGCTGTGGTTGTGAAGTCATGTTCACTGAGTTGTGCACATGGCTCTGTAACCCAGAAGTCAATTCCAAAGATTCCTTGACTTGAGATATTGGCTGTGGGGTCAAACTCTGAGATTCTATAACTTGTGACTGTGGTACTGTGATCATTCCAAAGGGCAACCCCAATGCTACGGGAGTTACCTTTACAGAATGTACAGATTGATATGATGGTGTTAGAATCATTCTTGCTGATTTTGTGAGGTTAGATGGTAGCTTTGGAGGTAAAATCACAGATTCTACAACTTTTAGTGGGGCAAGAGTTGTAGGAGGGCTAAGGGAAGAAGTTAAACCAACTGGTTGAGTTGACCTTGGGGTCAAATTTGTAATTTGAGACTGTGAATCTGGGGTCAAACCCCCATATTCTGTAACATGTGGCTGTGCTAATGGAATTATCCCCATGGCATTCATGGTTTGTAGTAACACCACTGGAGTTACTTTCTTATAATCCATGACTTGATGTAATGGTGTTGAGACAGTTTCCAATGGTTTTGTGTACTGATGTACTGGCTCTGGAGTAATCTTCACTTGTTCCATGGCTTGACTTTGTGACTCCGGGGTCATGCTCACTGACTCCATGACTTTATGCTGTGGCCCTGGACTCATTTCTACAGTTTGCATCATTGTCTTTTGTGGCCTTGGACTCATCTCTTCTGGTTTTATGGTTTTCTGGTCCAACAATGTGTCCATCTTCTCTAACTTCATGACTCGATGTTGTGGCTTTGGGGTCATTCTCATGGATTCTATGATATGTGGATGCGATTTTTTAGTCATCCCCATGGAATCCATGACTTGAAGCAATGCTACAGGAGTTATCTTCACATTGTCTGGGACCCGATTCCGTCTGGAGTTCATCCTCTTTGATTCCACATCTTGTTGCTGAGGACTTGGGGTTATCTCCATTGATTTGATTAATTGATTTGGTGATTTGGGGGTTATCCTCATTATTTCCTTGGGCTGGATTGGTTTTACAACTTGATTTGGCGGCTGTGGAAACAAATTCATAGATTCTATCACATCTGAATGTGATTCTGGGATCATTCCCATTGAATTCATGACCTGAAGCAATGCCAATGGAGTTACCTTTAGGTTATCTGTGACTTGATATGGTAACCTTGGGGTCAGCTCCACATCAGTCACTTGTGTCTTATGCTGCTGTATCCTTTTTTCTGGAAGACCTATGACTCTCTGTTCTATACTAAGCTCTAGCACATGCTTTGGGTCCTTCTTCAATAAAGTGGCTTCTTCTTGAATTATGTTAACTCCTAAACTTCTGGGAGGTGGAGAGCCCATTGACCTAACTAAATGCTTAGATCCAAGAATTTGGGGATCATCCCCAGGTTGTAACTGCTTATTTGAGATAAATGACTGTGAAATTTTTGTTTCTGTCCTATTTAATCCAGATTCCACACCAATGTTCACATGGAGCTGAAATGATGGAAGGTCTGGGGATTTATTATTGGTATTTTGTTCAGTGCTTTGATGAATAGGCATAGATAATTGAGTTT